CCCACTATACAACGCCCTACTAGCATTTTAGGCTAAGTAGGAAACCATCGCGCCAACTGCCTCTAACAAGCAAGTCGCAGGCGCTTCCGCATACCCTCCCCTCTTCTGGCATAGCTTAGGTTTCTAACGAACTGACCCGTACCATGTCGTGATGCCACACATGAAGATGGCATCCGAGCATCCAAGCAACATTCACTGTATCACCTAAGGACTGCATTCATACTGTACATCAAAGTTTTGAGCGTACAGCGACGTTTCAAGTACTATAAGCGTAGTATTTTGAGCTATTAGTTAAGTATTGCGTTGGCCATAAGTTATGGCGTTTTTTTTCTGACACAATTTTTTGTACGGGAAGTGGCAATTGTTCCTAATGTGTTCGATACTGTTTGGTAGATAATTCTCTGCTCTACAAGATAGTACAATTACTTTTCCATACTTCCCGATTTCTGTGATTTTTTTTCTCCATTGAAATGGAGTGTCGAGTCGACCCAAAAGTGAATTTTCGACAACAACTTTTTGCAATTCATCTCGGCTCTCAGATTACAAAAGAAGCTAAAAACTTGTGGAATATACATATGAATAAGGGAAGGTGATATTTATGATAGCTGGATTTAGTTCAAGGCGATCTAGAGTTTGGATTTCGGACCTTGTAAATGTGCACTGCATGGGGGTCCTCTTGAGGAGCGACTGCCTGCAGAACCTATCCATTAACTTTCGAACGTCTAACATCAACTGAGGGTGATGCTTGATTATGATAAGGAAGCATTCCTTGACCTAATGATACCTCAACCTTTGGCATGAATCTCCATGAATAAGGTAATTCAGTAAGGGCACGCACCTTCCCTGGAAAAGGCGTTACGCAGCGCCTGCTTAGGGTCGCGAATTCTGTTCTGCCAGGCGTATTGGCCCTACTCGTTTTAGGGGATTTATCGTGCCACTGCCTTTAAATACGGTTGTACGGTCAAACGCTAGATTGATACTTACTAGCCGCTAGAAACGTTGCAGTATGATGGGGTTAGCTCAGCACGTTCAATCATGCCTATACTTCCCAGTCGTTCAAAGCGCCAACGTAGACGCAGCGTATCGCTAGAAACGCTGCCGTACGCTCAAAAGGCTGCCGCGAGCTGTGTGCTCTAGCTTTAGCCTTCTACAGCTAACCCACTGTTATAATGGAGCCATTACCTAGCCAGGACATTCTACGTTAGAGAAGTATGTCTCTTTGAAATAAGGTTGATTCGATATGCTGTCATTTCTGAGGCGAGCCATTTCATTCACTTCCTCTCTAAAGCTGAAGCAAGGTTTGTGAAGTATAGCAATATAACAAACCGTTATGGCCTCGCAATGACTGCACCATCTGGCCAGAATGGCAGTCGGTTACATGCAAATGGCAATTGCCCGCACCACCACTGATCAACAAGGATGTCCTGAAGCAGAGCATAGATCGGCAGAGAGTAAAGATGCCCATATTCACGAGAAAGCGAGAATCAAAATCAGACTCGACCTGCTCACAGTATCCTCCAAGAAAATCACGTCTCTTATAGTACCATCATGAGTACTGAACTCCATTTCGGCACCTTTAGTAAAATATTCAATCAGGGAAGCATGCGAACTAGAGAGAGAAATCCAGACCCTTACCAATCTTGCAGTTGTCCGAATTGAAGGCCATGAGTCGTAGCGTTTTGTCGTTCGATCCGGTTGCTAACAATTCTCCAGTACCATTGAATGAAAGACAATAAACTGACCTGAAATTCTGAGTTGAATGTCGTACTTATAAAATAGCATCATTGCTAATAGTATATCCTGCCTATTCCTTCAGCTGTTGATCGTATTTGACATTTCGACACATCTGACACCTAACGGGTGAGAAAACTGCGAGATTGAAAACCCACTTGCTCAGGCATCCTATTTCCGTTCGACTGGGATCCCCTGTTGTTTGGTCGTTCGCTGCAACCGTGGTTGAGGACACTATGCGCTATCCTCCGAGGATTCTGGACTTCGCCAGCATTTTCGCTGTTAAAGTGCACGGGAACGGGAACGGGGCTGGAGGAAGGTGATACCCCGGTGCTGTCTTTGGACTCTGCCAGCGCTGCCGCATGGCCAACCACATTGTTCAAAGACAAACCATACCCTCACCTCCTGAATTCTGCTCCTTGCCGCATGTGGGAGAATGAGTTTCGTTGAAGGACCTCGGCATAGACGCAAGTGATAAGGATAAAGCTGCATTCGTACTCCGCGGTAGCGATAGCCTGTGACCAGCAGCGTTTTGAATGTTCTTCAGCTTCAGCGAATAAGAAAGAATAGATATCGATCCAGCGATTAGCAGTGTCCACCAGCGTCCACCAGGGTCTACCAGCGACCATAAGTTGAGAGTATTTGTGGCAGACAACTGGTAAAGGGTCAGGGGGATAAGAGGGTAGCAGACAGCTGGTGGACAGGGAGACAGGAGGGTAGCGGCTGCTGGTACGTATGGGGAAGTAGAGCGTAGCTGTCTGCTACCCTCATACTTCCCCATACTCTCCGCTCCTGAACGCTGCTGGTGGAAGGTGGACGCCGGTGGACGCTGCTGGTCGCTTGTGGATGCTGAATATTAAAATATAGACGCTTGATCGTACATATTTTCCTATTCACTGACGCTGACGGACGCTCGAAACGCTGCTGGTTGCTGGACGACGCTGGTTGTCGCTGACGCAAAGTATGAACGCAGCCTGAGACTGACGGAACCTGTGCCGCGCTTGAGTTCTACTACCTTACAGCCCCTGCCGCACACTTAAGCGGAGAAAAGTGCGCGCTATAGCTGCGAACTCATTTTCCTCGCACATTGCATGATGAGATCCTCTGGGGTGTGTTTGTTCTCATGCAGAAGAAGTCGGACATTTCGTCTGTCTCTTATAGTGTATGCCATCAGAATAAGTGCTTATCCTAAACTCACC